ATGCCGAGAAACAAAACGTAGTAGCGGCAACAACCGCCAAGGTTACTACGCACACAGCGCCAACAGGCCAAAAGGGTAGGCTGCAGCCACAGCGAGGAATCGGTACTGAAAGCAGCTGACAACCTCGCATGTATATTCGGCATAAAGCCGGTTGTGGCACAGTTACGCCTCACACTGCCAACACAAGCTGCCTCATCACCCCAGCACCTTTTCATAAATCACCTTCTTTAACGCTTCCCCGCATCCTCACTGGTATTGGGTTGATGGGGATTTCGTCTATGCTGCCACAGCCTTTCGTGATTGTTGCACGTTCGGTGCGTTGTAAGGCTTTCGTCAGCGCTGCAACCGCAACCTTTTCAACATGCCACTTGCCACTTGATGCGGCGCAGTTGTGCGCTCGTTGCGGCTGCGGTTTGCGGCAGTTGCAGTGTTGGCGGCCGAAAAAATCGCCCGCTTTCCATTGTGAGTGATTTACAGTTGCGCACAATTTGCTACGCAAGTGGGCGTAAGTGGTTTGTTTTCGTTCGGGCGAAGGCAGCCGAGTTGACTTGCAAGACTTTGCGCCAGCAGCTGGCAGCTGGCAGCTAGTCGGTCAAGGCCCTGCGAAAACCGTTTGACGGCGTCGCTTGTGACGCCAATGCTGCGTGCCGGTGCAACAACGAAAATGAAAAGCTAAATGAACAAAAAAGCAAAAACAAAAACAACAATGTTGAGGAAAAATGTTCGCCTCGAGTGCCTTTTTACTGCAGCTGGTTGCGGTTGCAGCGCTATAAAAGTCGACATTTACATCAGCGGCTGCGCGTTGCACGTGGCTTATTGTGCGCTGCGCGGCAGTTGCAATTTTCGTTGTCATGCCCGTCGCTGCAGCTGCAGCTGCAGCTAATTTGCAACCATGACAGCCGCCATTGTGTTGCTGTTGCATAAGTTTATTTATGTACACAATAGCGCGCACTCTCACACAAAAACACACATATGTGTCCGTATTAAGCGCAGCAATGAGCAGCTTTTAGCCGCAAATTTTCCTTTCAACTGCAATTATGTGGAAGAACGTGAGTAAGGCGCACAACATTGAACGAAAAGCCAGTGAAATGAGAAAGTTAAATTCTTACTTCGTTCCATTGTTCATTGAAACTGAGAAAATTTAAGCTAGGCTGGAGGCTTTTCTATCTTCAATCGCCAAACGCTGCCCAAAATTATGGCACAGAAGCACAAAATTCCACCTTTAGCATTGAGCTTTGAATATTTATTATTGATGGTGACCCCATGCGAGTAAAGATTTTTGTTCAGCAAGGAAAATGAGCGAAGAAAATTTCTTATAGGAAGGATTCCATTGTCTCGCAGAAGCCATGAAGTTCCATGTATTAACTTGATTTCTTAAAACTAGCCACTGTCTCTCCCCTCCTTTCAATTTCACAATAAAAACTGAATACAGCAATTTAAATAAAGCAAAGATGGTTTAGGATATGAATGAATTTCTTTATTCCGGTAAAAGTATATTCGATTCAATTATGTACGCATCATCATTTTGCATGGCTACCACGAGCACGCTTGCAGAAGTCCAGGCGCTGAACCCAATTTTCAACGGTTTTCAAGCATAAATCGGTCGATACCGCTGCAATTTCCCGTTCGATATTCGTACGAAATTCATCAATCGTCGCTAGCTTGTTGGTATAGACCATAGACTTAACGTAGCACCACATACTGTCCAAGTCCATATCATCTAAGACGGGCTAAAAATATGCGGTTATCATTCAGCGGTAGAGATTCCCATTTCAAATAACGTACCGTTCTTGATCATCACAGAAGAAGTACGACCCAATGACGCCGCCTCCCCATAAACCACCCCAAATCGTAACTTTTTCGCAATGCAAAGGTGACTCAGGGAGTACGTGTGAATTTCTGTCTGACCAATAACGCATGTTTTGCTTATTGACGATGCCAGAAATGAGCCTCATCGCTGAAGATGATTTTTAAATGAAAAACCGGATAATTTTCAAATTCTTCACGAACATTCGACGATGCTGATGGTCAGTACTTATGTCAATTTGATCTTCTAAGGATATAGGTCAAGACATTTTCGCAAAACTCGCTCAACGACTTCACAGAGATGGCCCGGACTTGAGTAGGACGTATGAGAGACTGATTTGGGTCTTCCTCAATTGATGCGCTAGCGGCAACAATATTCTCGACACTACAGGCACTTATTTACCCCACTGGCACGGGAACTTTTTGTAAATTTTTTCACAAGACGCTCACTTGTTAATCTGACATGACGATTATGATCACCATAAATTTAACGTGGCGAAATTTTAATTATTTCGATTATTATTGTTAGATCGTCGTGATGAAATGACAAACCTTACTGCAGACGCCTGATATGGCGTCGTTTGATGTCCCTATCAGTCTACTTCTGTAGCGTCTCTATTATTATTATTCAGTGTGCGACTTAGCAAGTATTTCTCAAGTACTCGTTAAATGTTGAGTGATTCATTTCGGGGATCCCTACTTGTTTAATGAAAGAAACGAGAAGCTTTATATTTAATTGTAAATCTATAGCATTATTCGAAAGAACATTATTGGGCATTTTGAAAATTATTGGTCTAACCTTTGAGTCCAATTTTCTATGGCTTGTTCGAGCATTTCGCCTGGTAGGTGGCGAATGACATGCGTGGTGTTTTACTCCACAGGAAAAAGTCTAACGATGTGATATCACTCGATCCGATCGTGAAATTACCTCCTCACCGAAGTGTTCTCTCAAGAAATCCATCTGATGAGATGTGTGGGATATACTTGAAACGTTTCAAGAGCCCATTGAGCGAAGCGATTTAGCTTGGAAAGGCCGGTTGGCTTCAGTTTGCCCAAGAACTCACGCTGCTCTACTCACGTTTCAATTCCAAGTCGTTCCATACGTCAGTAGTGAGTTCTAGCGAATGGCGTCTTTCGTTTCAAAGTCTTCCTATGTATTTTGTTATCCTAAAAATCAAATAATGGTTTTTCAGAAGACGTGTACTTTTTAATGGGGCAATACTTTTTTCGGAGTTAGTATTTTTTTACGTTTTCGTAACGAAAGAGGTTTTCTTTGGAACAATTTTTGCAAATCGTACAAATTTATTATCAGAACAGTGGTTCGGTTCGGCCCACGAATAGGGTCAACATAATCGTCCAGCAATGTCGGTAATTCAACTACTACTAGGAACTGATTTCGCAACACATTTTCTCAAGTGGATAATGCGAACGCCATTGCTGCTGTGGATCGTAGTATCGAAGTAGACCCGAAGGAGTCCACCCACCATCGCATAACAATTGAAAGTGTGTTCATCCACTTTGTGGAAAATTTTTCGGAATGATTTTGATTTTCGGTGAATGGACCCAAAACGATATGGTCACCGATCGCGATTTTCACGAGTAGATTTGGTTTAGAGATTAAGCTTTCTTTTGGTTGAATTGGTATATTAATAAATAAAATTGTCGTATTTGGAAGTAAAGCATTGCTTTTTCAGGGAAAATACTGTTGAATTTATGCTAAGGGAAATCCACCGTTGAAAAGATATTTGCTAAGCTGGAAACAGGTGAAATGAGCACCGAGGACAATGATGCTCTAAAGAGGCGAAAGCTCTGTGCTAAGTGGGTTCCTCGCATGTTCATAATCCAACAAAACCAATGAATAACTGATTATAAGAACTGTTTGAGTGCTCTTTCATCCTAATAAAAATGATTTTTTTCCCACTGGAGTCCAATCGACAGTCATTCTAGAGGACTGCACATGATGAACCGGTTCTCAGGCGTGGAAAGACGAAAAACTCGACTGGAAAGTTATGACATCAGTCAGTTGGGATACACCTAACACCTAATACACCTAACACTGAGGACTATCCATTTCACTGCATATTTTTGAGGAAGAATCTGTTTAAAATTGTAAGCATATATTCAAATGATGCCTACAAACATGATTTTTATATTATATATGCTTCTAAGATATCTCTCCACCAATCTTCAGCAAAATCGGTTCAGTCAGTCTTGAGTTATAACTTGGTGTAACTAACACAACGTTCTTTTATATATATAGATATCAATTTCCACCTTCTTGTCCGGTGGAATATATTACAAAAGATATTTCATAAAACTATAATGCGAAAACTTGTGATGGCACGCATGTTCCCTTGTTCCAGTTGGACAGATATTCAAAAGTCAAGTATGATTGAAAACATATATTTTGGAATAATGGTCATATCTCCTTCCAAATAAATGGATATTTTTATATGAGAGTTCTTTGCTTCGTTAAATAATATGGATTCATATCTAATTAACAACGGCATCGTAGTCACCTGGTTAAGAAAGTAAAGTTCGATTGCAGGTACAAAACAAAAACATAGAATTGAGATCTGAGAAAGCGAATTGTCTTCATTACTGTGTGAACTTGCCTATTAAGTGGTGCTGAACTCAGTCTTATATTAAACCGACATGCCATTCAAATAATTCACGTAAAATGACAGATTTTACCGGCTAATACTAGATCAGGCTAACTCTCGAGATCATAATAGATTCAGCTGCAAACCTCATTTAAAATTAATAACTCGGATTATGAATAATGATTCCTGCTTTGACGAACGGCATATGCATATGAAGCTGCCTAAATCCTTCTGTCCATTATTGTCTCTAGAATCGAAGTTTGGAAGAGTGGAGTACTTAGAAAAATATAAAGGATAAATTTTGTATGTAATTATATAAGTAGTATTATTTTTTGAAATTAATACGAAATTAAAATAAGTAGCGAACGGCACTGATGTACTAATAAGTATAATCAATTAGCCGGTATGTCGACTTCATCTAGACCACATGAGAGCCAAATTATGGTGACAATTTTAAATACCTTCACTGCCATTATTTGAAAGACTCTCCTCCTACTTTTTGTCTAAAAAGTTTCAAATAAAGTTTATGAAATAAAACCCAGCATTATATTTTAACTAATTTATTTGATTCGTTTTTTTCAAAATCTCAATTCTCAATTTATCTTATTTATATATCCCTAATGTAATAACTAACTTTGATTATGCACTACTTAGTTCAATACTTTACAAACTAATTTTAAGTTAAACTTGTATTGCACACAACTAACAGTATTTTTTTTTTCACATTTTCATGCACAATCGAACACTCGGTCGCATAATTAACGGTCAACTGCCATCCTAAGATTATTCCGCCTACCCCCACAACTACCTATGCGACCCATTTACACAAAACCTTTAACAAATCGCCTTGCGGCTTAGTATCGGAAAGGAATACGAGATCGTACACATGCTTTTTAGAGATAATAGTTAAAAATATTTTAGTTGCTTGATTTATGTCTTGTCTAGTATACATACTGGCTAGTCTAACTGTTACTTTGCTATAGTTTAATGTAATTGCTGTATTTGTATAAGTAATTTAAGTACTAGAGCTTTCCATTACAGAGTAACTTATGCTTATAAATATTTAGACTTTAGGTAAGAAATACTTGTATCGCTTCTGTGTTATATGTGTGTGTGAATATATACAGTTAAAACTATGTAGTTGACATAAATATTTATTTGCGAGTTGAGTTTGATGTTTCATTGACCTTGAATAATGCCTATGTTGTGTAACTGAGCACACTAACTGTATTTTCTTAAAAAAAGTTTAAATTTGGAATGCGCATTTTGTTCGTATGTATGCATAGATATAACTATGGGACCAAATTGAGTCGGTAATTTTAACTAAATTAACCACGTTTCCGCTTCATACGATTAAATAACAAGTATAATGTGAGTTTACTAGCAAAACACGGCTACGCCTACACGCCCTGTTGGCTGCTACTGTTTGCTACAGCCTCAGTCTCATTAGCTCTTAAATATATCCGCTTGCGATTCGTTCAGACGCTTCAGCATCGCGTTGCGGTGCAGCCAATAAGGCGGCGGATCGGGTGGTTGTCCCGGCAGCAGTGTTTTACTCTTTAGTGTCGTGGTTTTCGGGTTCGCGGCGGGTGAGTTGTTCGCCGCAAGTGCTGCGTTATACATCACCGGATCGGCCAGTTGGGCCGAATGTCCAACCGCACCGCGCATTGGCACCTCTTTCTTGCGTATCGTTTCGCAGGTTTCCTTCATCTTGCACAACTGATCCTGTAGATTGCGATACTCTTCGAGGAAGCGTTCCAGTTGCGCGGCATGGTAGTCGTAAGCCGCCACTGTCGACGTATTCGTTGTTGGCTGTAATGCTGCAGAGACGGCGGCTAGGTTAACGGCTGGGGTTGTGGCTACGCCCGTGCGTGCGGTTAGCGTAGAGAAGTCCAATAGTGGCGTTGCCGCTGAGCTGAAGGAACGCTGGTGCTGATGTGTATCGTGCACGGGGGAAGATGGCAAACTGGGGTTGCGTCGCACGCCATTAACTCCCATAGCCGCGGCACCCAAAGCAGCGCTGCTGTTTAGGTTTATATTTCCTTTATTGCTGCTTTGCACCAAGTTGAGGAAACTATTCGAACGCTGCCCGCTGGTGTATGTGGATGTGCCAACGTAATTCGAGTATGACGATTCGGCCGAGAAGCGTCGGCCCATCGTCAGCTCATTTAGAAAGCTGGCATCACCCAACGTGCTGCTGCCATATTTACTTGAGTTGTCCGCCAACAGCGGTGACTGACTGTCCGATGAGCTTTTAAAGTATTTGCCGGTGTTTTTCAATTTTCGAGGCAGTGTACAAAGCGCCGCATTTGTCGAGCTACCCGCTCCTGCATTTACGCCGTAATGCGAGTTATTGTTGTTGGAGTTAGTCGCCTGCGCCACTGCGTACTTGGCGATGTCCAGCAAATCGGGGTAGTTGCTGTCGAAGAGATCATTCTCGACGCTGTCGCCACTGCAGAACACCGAGGTGCTGACATCATCGTTGTTGTAGTAAGCATTGTTGTTGGGACCAACTGTTTGTCCGCCCGTTCGTTTGCTATGCGGTGAGGTTATCTTAGTTGTAGCAATGGGTGTGGTTGTCCAGGTGGGAATTGGATTGTAACCACCCAAGCGTGCAGCGGCGTCCACTTGACTAGAGATGGAACTTGAGGCAGAGTCCGAACTAGAAAAAGAGAGAACGGTTTTGTACTTATTAATATTGTTTTTATAAGAATTTAGTGATTAAATCTCAAATAAAATTACCATCTTTAATGGTTTTAAGAAATATTTATTTGACTAGTGTATAAAATATATCTAAAGATCCTAGGAATATTTTTAAGAAAGTAAAAATCTCCTGAAGGTGGATTGGAAAGTGAAACTGTGGGAGTATCGGAACCTTATTTTGGGTAACGCTAAAATGTAGATACCCATAATCGTAGAATAAGTTTCAACAGTTTCAATCTTTAAGATAGTCAGTGAAAAAGGCGTAATTAGTGGGAAGGCGACGGAAATACCGGCACATCAAAAATTTTCTATCTCATAGGTAAAAGATGTTGTATATTTAAGCTCTAAGAATCTAATATGTCCCAGTTCAGTTTGACAAATTAAATTGTTTCGACATTATTGGAACACAAATTATGTATACAACCCAACTTACAGTATTATTGGGATGGCATATGAAACAAATGCGATAAGATATTTCGAATTTATAAGTAAGCCAAACGAAGTAATGAAAACGCGACTAGTTTTTGTGAAAAATCTTCTGGAGTGAAAGGATTAGAAGCTTTAAATAGAAGAGAGATGAAAACGTTGTATTTAAATAGCGAGCAGTGAAGCCGATTTTACCTCTCAGTTGCTAGTCAATGCGTTGTAAATCTGTTCTGGCACCTCTGCTGATGAATCATTCTTACTTGTTCTTGATTCGACAGTTTGGAGATGGACAAGAATGATTGTGTAATACGTGGCTCAATAAGAGTAAAATTCTCACACTTTTGATACAGTCGGGGTTATGTGTATAAATAAATATTTTCTATTATGTTTTACGAGCACTTTTTGCAGCAATTAGGACAATGTGTCAGCAGTAACCTTTTTTCTTTTCCAAGGCGTCAAACATCTCGTCGCCACCAAAGACAGTTCAGCGCTGTTAAATTATCTTTTCACCAAAGTTTCTCTCAATAAATAAATTATTTCGTAGGCTGAACTATGAACCTAATGTCCTGTACATCAACATTCGATAATTCGGGCAGAAAAAAATTCTTAATCATGACACTTAGCTAAAGGGAGCATCATCGCTAAACAAACTGTTCTTGGAAAAAGCGAGATCGATGGTTATCTCGTTTTGACCTATAGACCTCTCTGCTGAAAACTGTGCAGCAAAATCGGCGGGACCACTACTGGTTGCAGGAGAATTTACATATAGAGCTTTCGGGCATAGCTCATTGGGTAATGGAAGTTGGGCAAACACCTACTGCATGAAAGTACAAAGTAAACATCGGAAAAGATGGCTGACGTAAAGGTATGTTAGCTACGAGCGGAACTGTTCAGAGAATAAGGCAATCTCTAAGTTGCTGAAATACTGCTATACAGTATAATTAATGCTTTGCTGGAGCTGGTCTCTAATCCACCAGCAGGCAATTCCAGAGCCAACATCTACGTAGAAAGCCAAGCAGCAATCAAGACTTTATTTTCCCATCAATTTAAACATATAGTAGAGGCTTACATCTTTACAGAGAATTTCTCAGAATTGGAAACGAAGTTTAGTAAAGAGAAATGATTAATGAGTTTGTAAAACGCGAATGCAATTTTTATTGCTAGTCTTGACCGGTTTTGATAAAAACCGCTGCAATACATTCTGTAAGAAAGGTTTGAGTCAAACCCTGCCAGTGAGTAGGTCCCCAGCCGTTGTTGCAAAATTAAAATACAATTTTATAAACTGGCGTAGCTAAATGTTCTGTATTTGCCATTAGTGGACGGCGGGAATAGAATTCCTTATTACACAATAGAACAGTTATGATTCTTATTGCGAGCGCATGCAACAAAAGTTTTTTTATGGCGAAACTTCTCGGAAAACCCAAATTTATGCTGTTACGATTTTGGGTAGCAAGATAATCTCTAACATTCAGAATGTGCTAAACGAATTCAGACTAATCAACTTTTACTACAAGTTATTGTAATTTCCCTCCGCCGTTTGCATGTGCAACAAAGCCGCAGCGTATCTTGCATGCAACTTGAAACTTTCTTAAATTGCATCTTCAAATTAATGAATGATGTGAAATTCGTTACATTGAAACGGCTGCACCGAGTGGCAAGACAACAACAGTGCCAAACAAAGTGGGCGAGAACAATAACAAAGGAAGAAGAAGCAGCAGGAACATTGCAAGGAACTGTTTTATTACAAAAGTTGAAAACACACTCTAACACATACACATGAGAGCTATATGTTTACACTTTACTATATATGTATGTATATATATTGTGACGACAAATAGCCGAGAGTAGAGCGAATCAACAAAAGCGCACGAAAGAGTTGCAACAGAATTAGTGAAAACAAAACACTAGTGAAAAGTTAGAGATGCCGGAGATAAACACGAGATGGGCGCACCAGTTGGGGTAGGCGCCCGACACTTCAAGTGCTGCAGCGCGAAGTGGAAAAGCTTGGATTTCTTTAGCTTGCAGTTGTGGCAAGAGGAGGGCAGCAAGTAGCTAACCAATTTGGCAAGCTGCCTGCAGCCAACTGCGGCACCAACCAACCCATGCAACAGTTAACAATGACAACGCAAGCAGAAGGCAAGCATCTCATGTCTGCGGGAATTTTTGTACTGCCAAGAAGCTTCAAAGGACGTTTCAGCCTCTCAAAATGATACCATGCACAACAATACTCGTAGGTATAAAGGTGGGGTAGTCATCATAGTTTTGCGAGCGGTGGGTACAGCCGCTCATTCTTTGCGAAGAAAGTGGCGAGCCGAGCGTGTTATGCACATCATTAGCACGTGTTATTTCCGTGTGTTTATCACTTGCGCATCTCGAGTGCCAAGTGTCAAGTGTATAGCCCAATTTGTACCATCATACTACATATAGTGGGTTTAGGCACGCAGATCTGTGCAAAAATTGTCAAAGGTAAATAAAAGTCAACTAAAGGGCCGGCAGGAAACAACCAATTGAGGTGGTTAAAAACAACACATAATTTTACTGCAATTGAGTTACGTGGCAGGAAGTATTAACCGGAAATCCGAAGTGGGACAAATAACAGAAGAAGTGGGAATTCACAATAAAAATAAATCTCCAGAAACTGGTATTGGGTTGGTTAGCAGGAACTGCTAAATTGGTTAAAATATTGTAAAAAATGGTAATTTGAATTGCTAACTGCCCAAATAACCCAGTGAGACCGATGGATTGGATCGAGGTTAGGTTAGGTTAAGATGTCGTTCGTAACAGGGATCCCAGTTGGACAGCCTAGAACGCCGCTACCTTATGTTATCCGAAAATTTTATACGATAGATCATAAGACCCATAAAAATCGGCAAAGCATTACAAGTTTGTTGAAACGACTGATGTCAACAGTTTTGCTTCACAGAAGGTAAAAGTGACGAGATGTTTCAACGTCAGTCTGGCAAAGGCTGGAGAGTGCCTGCATGTTTCCACCCCAAACTCCTCCACACAGTTTTCACAAATCAATTGCGTCGGTATGATGCAATCAAGGTCGGACTTGAAAGGTTTGAAATAATTCAGTGCACAGGTAAGGTAACGTTCATCCAAAGGTCCAAGAGGGTGTGCAACCTTCTAGAGTCTCTTCCATTTCTCAGATACCCAAGGAGCCGTGAGCCTTCAGAAAAGTCCTCTAAACTTTACTCTTAAGTCAAAATAACAAGTCAGTTGTGTCTTATAACGGGGGATCTAAGTGGAGGTACTTGAGTTGTGTCAAGCTGTGATGTTTTTTTGTTCAGTATTGTTTGACATTTCATCATTGAAAGATTTGACTTTTGGGCAAAAAGTAACTTGCAGAGCTTCAAGAGCTGCCGTTTCATCCAGAAGAAAACAACGGTTTGTTGTGGTTTGTGGTCCATATTTCTTCAAAAATGATGTCGGTAAGAACGTAACTGTCAAAGGCGGCCGTTGTCGCGCTCGTCATCTCTTCGACATTTGGTTTCAAAAAGATGGCACCACTTCCCACACAATTGATGCCATTAATGTATTAATTGAGAGAACACTTCGGTGAGAAGATAAGTTCACGTTTTTGGCTGGTAGATTTGCCACCAAGATTGTATGATATGACACTGTTAGACTATTTTCTGTGGGGATATGTAAAGTCTAAAGGATAATTTCGCCTCCATTCAGATTTTGGAGCAAAACATCATGTGTATTATTCTCCAATTACCAGTCAAAATGCTCGAACAAGTCATTGAATTGGACTCAACGAATGGAACTTCCGAGACGTAATCTACCATTTGAAAGATAATCTTCAAAAAACAAATACCTCAGAGTGTTCGCGATAATGTTAAGAAACATTCCCCCTTTGCATTTAAAGCTTTTGTGTTTTTTCTTTAAAAAAGTAGGGAACCTCGAAACAGATCAGCCTTTACAGCGCACAATGGCCTGTGGAGGCAGTGCTCGGTTTTTAGAGATAAGTTCCGTAACAATTATCATCGATCTGCGCGAAATTCGAAAATATTCAGAAAATATTAGAGAGCTTTTCTTGAACTATATCTTCAAAAATATGCATTTTGGAACATTTATTTATATTCGAACAAAAATCTGAGGACCACATATATTGATTCTTATTTACAAACAATTATTTTCGAACAAATTGTCTCAAACTTTCGGTTTAGAGTTAGGCGCACTGAACAACTTAACCAGTAGTATTTTATTTATACGTTGAAATAGCAAAACCCTACTCAATATTACTGTATAATAGCAGATATCAGCTTGTACCGGCCCGTAGCTTTATAAAGTTGCAATCTATCTGTGCAAATCTATCTTATGCAGAGTTCCAAAGTTACAAAGGAACGATGGAGACTCCAAACTCTAGTAATGAATTACAATTCGTATTACGAAAAAATTTGTGAACCGAAGTGAACTCAAGAAATTCAGACTTATAAAAAGATTTCGAAAAAGATAAATAAATAAAGGAGATATACAAACTTATCATATAATATCTGCTCAGACCTTATAGCGCAATGACTTTTTCTAAACAGGTAACTTCTACAATGTCGAAATAGTATAATTGATGAAATTTGTCAATCATTATTCGTCTGAATTCTGCCGATTTAATTAATTGTGCTAAAAATAATATCGGAAACCACTCTTACGGAGTTAATCTAGCTACCAAGATCAAGAGTTCGTTTATATATTAAATTATGTTATGGAACAATTGGCAGTACAAATAATTTTTTGGTTCGAAATACTTACCCGCCTAATTCGATTAGCCTTGGTATGTGTAAATCCGATTTTTGTGGCCCCACATCGCTCTCACATTCACCACTGCCGCTCCCCGCGTTTACATTTCTTTTGATATCTTGCGGATTTTCGCGCATCCCCGCTGTACCACCACCACCACCAATACCCGCACGCCAGCGTAGCGCAGCTGATGTCTGATTTGCGTGTTTGCCACCCGCATAGTTGGTTTTTGCCGCCGACTGGTAGTTGGCATCCAAACAATCCTCGTCATCGTCGCAGTGTGTTGGTATATTGCGGTAGTCACCGTTGCGTTTGGCGCTCCCACCACTTGGGTTCACAATAGCCACACCAGTATCACCGCCGTCATCTGAGCCACAATTAAGGGGAGTCGTAGCTGTGTGCAGGTAATCGCTGTCGTCGTTAGGAAATAAACCGCCGCCACCGCCATTAGTATTGCAAAAGTTGCCAGACACATCCACACCACCAACCGTGGAACCGCCACCCAAATCGGGTTTTCGATTGCCCATACCAGCACCGCCACCATTGCCACCATTCGGGCCATTGCCGCTGGTCGAGCAGACGCGTGATGTCATCTCAATTTTTTCATAACTCTCCGTGCGCGCTGGTGGTACTGAGTTCCACAAACGCATTTTGCGTTTACGACGTAGCGAACAAAAACAAATTGCGGCAAATGAGGAGCCAACTACAAAGAGCAAGGCTGTAAAAATGCATAGGAGCACGATTTTTGCACCCAACGGCGCCTCGGGTGGTCGTCGCGAAACAGCCAGTGTAACGGATGCCTCCACTTTGCCGGCTTTGTTCTCAGCTGCGCAGGTATAAATGCCCGCATCCTGCATGTCGGCGGTAAGTATGGTCAGATTGGAGGCGTTGCGTAACATGTTTACCACGTACGTCTTGCGGCCTTGCGTTGCTGCCGCAGTGCGCGGACTTGCCGTTGGGTCACCCGTTGCAGTTAGGTTGGCAATCACACGATTTTTCACCATCCATCGCACCGATGGTTCCGGCACGCCCTCCACATAACAGCTCATCGTCACATTGCGTCCCTCCACACCATGTGCCGTTGTGTCGGTGGCAATTATCTGCGGCACGCAAGCAAAGTCATCCAGGTCGATTTTATCCCAGGTTTTGCCAGCCAGACGCGGTGGTGCGCGACACAGCGGTGGTATGCCATATGGTATATTCTCGCGCAGCATCCATGCACGCAGCGGCCGCAATGCGCAGGAACAATTCCACTGATTGCGTGCCAACTCAATGCCGTGCAAATTCGTGAGAGATGTTATGGTGCCCGACCGCACCTCACTCAATTTATTACCATCCAATTTCAGCCATTCCAACGTCGACTCAAGGCCGGCAAAGGCACGCACTTCGACCGTCGTCAACTTACAGTCGGACATTTCTAAGCGTACCAGCTGCGGCACAAAGCCGAAAGCATCATCTTCTACACGCAAAATCGGATTGCCGTTGAGTTTGATTTCACGCAGCTCGGTTATGAATTCGAATGTGTCGGTAGGTATGCTGCTCAGCAAATTATAGCTCAGATCTAGTTCAACCAGATTGATGAGCTTGCGAAAGGCAAAACGTTCGATCACACGCATTCGGCATTTGGCCAGATAGACCTTTTGTAGATTGAGCAAATTAACCGCCGCAAAGGTGTCGTGCGGTATGCTGGCGATATCATTGCCAGTCAAGTCGAGAACCTGTGTACCGGCATCTAAGGGCACCGGGATATGTGTGAGATTCGCATTAAGGCACAAAACTGACTCTTTGCCGCTTTTCCACTTGCACTCGCACATGCTGGGACAATCGGCCAATGTGGGATGGGCTAGACTCAGACAACAAAGCAGCCAAAGTAGTTGCGCAAGCGGGATAGTGAGTAGATTATGTAAAGACAGTTGCAAAGCGGGTACCAAAAGATGAAGGCTCTTCGAAAGCTTTGCTCTCGTTGGCGGATGTCGTGATTTTCGACGCACCTTGGTAGCCAACGTTATCTGGCATGCGGTACTGTTTTCAAAGCAAATGCTACAGTTACTTTGCACGCACCTATGCAGAAGAACAGCCGACGTGCGATTGTTGCCGATGTTGTAGTTGTGCGCCCGTGGGCTTTGTTGTGTGGTTTGTCTGTGGCGGGCCATGGCATTTCCGTTCGGAGTATTGTAAGTACTTTGCCCTGAAACTATGCCACATTGAGGCGTCTGCACATTGGCGAAAGAACGACCAGCTGCATACAAGCGAAATGTGGGACTCGTATCGTAGGAGTTCTTCAAATGACAGTTGACCAGTGTGAAAAGCGCGTGCGTTGTATTGGGTTTTGTGCGCAGTGGTCTTATGTCGAATTCCTGATTTTTGTACTGCCATGCCAGCCGGCCTGTGTGTTGTCTCTAATATACGCGGGGGTACGTTCCAATAGCGTGCCCCAAATTAACATTTCCTCAAACGTTTTTGGTGATAAATATTGCCGGGTCTGCAAAGAAAACGGAAGCAAAAAGATGCGATCACTTTACTGGGTTAAAATATGAATTAAATATGAGTCGGCCATAGGTCCACATACATAAATAATCTTAATGGGCTAAAAGTGAAAAGCACTCGTTTTTACTCGGAATGTATTTTACTGCATATTTATCCTAGTTTCGTAAGCAAGCTGTGCAGAAAAAGTGTGGCAAGACGCTCTTGGCCTCTAGCCTACTTCTTCTAGTCATGCAACCTCACCTGCTTGCTGCACGGCGCGGTTGCCGCAAGGACCCACAACATAATCTAAACAGTGCAGCTGCAATAAACTGTAAATATTTGACATTTTAATAATGTGCTTAAGTGGTAAAGCTAAAGTATGTACTTGCCATTAGCTGACAGCGGTGGCGGTGGCAGTGCTGGTGTTAGTGGCGAACAAAAAGTGCAACAGCCATTAGTTTTTTCACCACGCAAGCCCCCCACCCTACTACTTTGGCACTTGTAGGTGTTTACGTAAGCTCCGTTGTTGCTTTGGTGTTGTGTTCTGCTGAAGCCATAACTGTCACTTGGAGTTAGCGCGATTTCTTGCTTTCTTACCGCCATCGGCTTGACACTTTGCAACAGCTTGGCACTTTTTGCCACCACACTTTGCTAAAGCCCTGCGGCGGTATTGCAATAGACAGCTCTGCATTATAACTATGTGTAAGTATATAAAGTGAGCAAAGCTGTAAGTTTCTAGCGGATAGTACTCCACTTGCCAACGGTTTGAATTTTAGTGTTGCACGCCACAGTTGACAATGGATTTGTACACGAAGTGCTTTCTCATACTTATATACTTGATATACATAACCCAGTAAACATTTACACGGATACAAACACAAAAACTTCGTCAAAAGGAAAGGAAAGAATGAGAAAATCTAAAGTGAAAACGATGGTCATTGTCTTATGTGACATCAAAGGGATCGTCCACCATGAATTTGTTCCTCCTGAACAAACCGGCAATGCCAAGTTTTACGTGGAAGTCCGCAAGCGACTCAAACGAAGGGTCAATCGGGTCCGACAAGACATCGCAGCCCGATTGAAAGTTGCACCACGGCAACGCCCTGGCCACATTGTCTTTCTTGTGAACAGGTACCTAACCAAGGCCGGCTTCTAAATGCTTCCGAAGCCACTCTACAGCCTTTGCTTGAAAGGCCGATGAAAGGCAAATTTTTTGAGAATAATAATAATATGATATCTTAATGAAATGAACCGGACATAATTTCCTATTATTAATATGGCTTTCGGCCACAACCGGTTAGAATCGGATCAATGCTCCCATAGGCCTAATGTAACCTAATATAATGATTTGTGAATTTCTGCACGACTTTACGCCGAAAGGTTGTATTACACACGTTTACATGTGTGTAAACCCGCAAAACAAAAGCGCAATTATTACTTAGGAGCCCTACACGAATATGCCACTCATACTAAAACCAATATTAGCTGTAGCTACAGGATATAAATTGCAGAATTTCTAACTCAACCCAGCGGGTACCGACAGCTTGCAACAACATGCAATTGCCGCAAGCGAGCGCTATGCCGTAGCTCAGCGTATTTCACCGTTAGAACAACTGATTTACATTTATTTAAGAATAGTGTTGTCGAATAGTTTGTGGCAAATGTTTGTGTGCAATTGTATGTGCGCGTTCGCATGCGCACAGTTGCTCATTGCGGGTAAATGCTGCTTGGCATGCCACGGGGCGTATACGCAACATATTAGAACATTTCCGCGATAATTTATATTTTGCAAAATTTCTTCATTCTGGCTTGAGCTTTTAGCCTCTAGCCTTAATCGCGTTAAGCTAAACGCCATCTATCGCTTAAGTGGTCCTATCAATACAGTTTGTTTTAGGACTTAATGCTCTCGCAAACCGGAAAGGTCCTTTTTATTCACTCGGCTTATTAGCCAAAAATTATCCAGTAATTAAATGGGGTCTAAAACGTCAATAACCATTGCCTCAACTGCAGTTGAACCGCTAAAAAGTAAAGTGCTTGTTGCCATCGAATACCAGGTGATTGTAGCCTCGAAAAATTCTTTAAATTGCAAAAATCACTTGACATTTGTGTAGAGAATGGTAAATCTTCTTCTAGAATAGAAGATGGAAATAAAATAATAATAGAAGGAAAATTATCTTACTTTATATATAATATTCATACTTCAGAGTCGTCAGTCAGCACTACAATAAGTGTCGTCGAATTCTTCGAAAGAATTTCGGTAAATATGTGTGTTCAATAAAATTTTATAATTTCCTTAGAGGATTTCTTCATTAATCATTTGACATTAAGTTGTATAAAAAAAAACTGTAATTACAAGTCGAAAAATAGTGCAGTAAAATAGTTGGTAATAGTAGAAGTTTTAAAAATAACTCAACTAGGAAAAAAAATATTTAAACTGCGAACATATTTTGAATTATTTTTTAAAGTTTACCGGTTATTTTAAATAGGGAAAAAAACACGTTGTTAATCTAAAAATAGCATAAAATTTAAATATTCATTTGCCATTCATTATCTTTCAAATCGTACAAAATTAGCACAATAATACAGTCGAAACTCTCTAAAACGATCATATTTAACGAAGTTTTCTTTATTGCGAATTATTTCAAACAATTTGACGTCGCTTTGTTGTGTGTTATTGTTGTTGTTTTTGTTGCTCTGTGTGTAGTTTGTTGCTCTGCTTAAACAACGCACAAGCAGAGACTTTCCATAAAATTGAAAGAGTATTTCGGGGAACCATCTAGCTATGCAAGTTTCAACCGAAATCATTGCCTCAGCATGAAGAAAACTATCTACCCCTATTCCACTTCGCCTTTTTAGAGTCTTAATTTAAAACAGTTGCTAATATTAATGCAACATTTGAACACTACATCAATGTTGACTGTGATGTCATCACTACAGACAACCGACGAAAATATCCTTGAAAGTGTTCAGAAAAGCTTTGGAGCACCAGCTATCTCAAGTAAAGAAACAATAATAAAGTAAAGCCTTGGCTAATAATTATTATTATTTTTTTTAACAGATTCAGATGAATACGAAGAAGAATCTGAAATCTGGTGAAAGCGTTACCCACACATGGACAACTTTCTTCGAATATTTCTCACTTTAGCCATTTGCAAGGACCAAGGCTAAGGGAACATCTTAAGATGCATAACGTCAACCAAAAGATCGAAGTCCAAACAATTTTATATATATATATAAAAGTCATACACAGACAGGCATAAAGCTAGGAATTCAAATTCAAAAGTCAACTCGAATACAGAGTATTCGGTAGAGCACACCAATTTGTCGAGAGTTGCGCTAATTACTATTTCAGTGGGCGGAATTGTTCCCATTAAGTATATATTTAATGTAACACATTAAAATCAAAATTTTATACTTTGTGGGTTTATGAGTGCAGTAAGACCAAATTTGAGCTTAGAAATGTTATTATAATTCGGGCTCAAATTAGCATTACTTATCTTCGGTTATAATAAATGAGCCTAATATGTATGTATATGCCCTAGTGCTCTTATATTGAAACCTTCGAGTTAAGTTCTATTTATCGATCAACTTGTATTCAACATACATATCCAAATATATTTGGTATCTTCGTCATCTTCATCTAGCTCTTTATATCTGATATCCCGCGTGCCTCTTGCGTCAAAAATATTAACTCGGGTAATTAGTAAAATATTTCATACTCATTATGCCAGCGTGTTATCCTGAGGTTAAGTAAGTTTGGGATGAACACTAATGTTGACTCAAGCGCCTACTATATATTTATACTTTAGTAGCAGTTATTAAAATCGATTTTGTATTTTTGCTTAATTAGGAAGTAATTTATGTAATATATAGAACTATATGCCCTTATCACCGACCCGCCGTTTATGCTCATTATATTCCCACTAAAGAGTCCACTGATTTTACACATTTTAACTCCATAAACTTAACCAAATACAAAATAAACATTTAAAAGACTGAGCATACATATATACCTTTTATTCTGCTCTGCTTTACAAAGAGTCTCTAAGTTAACAAATGGGGTCTCGTGAATGTTTCTATCTTATCTGCATGCTAATTTTTTCTAATTTTTAATGCCGTTTGCAACGTGCAACATGTCGCGCTTATAAATACCCTTCAGCTTGCATGTATGTATACGGCAATCTCAGTACGCCGGCGGGAGTCTCCACAATTACCGCCACTCTCTTCAACTCAGTTATTAACTCGTGCAACGCTCCACATGGGGCTTGGCGCGCAGCGCTCTGGAACACAATGCATTCAACGTATGACCAACTTTGGACGGTGCTTTTGCAGGCGCGGTGGCGTCTGGTGGGCGGTTCGCAACATGTTATCGCTTATCGCCGCTTGTAAATCAACACGTTCATTTACGTGGCTAAAACATTAAACCGCTAAAGTTTTAAAATGCTAAAACGCTGCGAAGACTATTTATGTATGATGGCATTAGACCGCAGGAGCTGTAGCTGGAATTGGAGTCAACACCTTCTCTTAAGCGTCTCTCCGCTTTGCTAGTGCGCACTGTTGCAGACTCATATGTTTTGTATGTTGTTCAAAAGCACTTTAGGAAAGTTTTAATATTTTGTAGTAATGTGCCATTATAGCTCACATACACACATGCATTTATGCGGATATATGTTATTAGAGTTCACCACCTGCGGCGGTCGTAATTTATAAGCGCTCTTTATGAGTATGAGTCGGAGTGCCCCCTACCCCGGTTAGCGTCAGTTATGCTCAGCTATGGATATAGAGCTATGTATATCATGCTGCTGCATTCATGTGAAATTATCGTGTGTTTTACTACTTGCAACGAAAGTGTCATTCGCCAAGTAGTTGATTGTTGGTTGTTGCTGGTGTTACTTTAATGTTTTGTGCTACTCGTAATTATGAAACCAAACATGCAACCGCCGCTTATGATAAACAAATTTTATAGTAAATCACACATTAGACCAAGTATCCTCTGGGTAGCCAAAGATTTAAACT